CAACAATGGCTGGCCTAATGTGTACCTTGGTCTTGGACACTCAGCTTGTGGTAATAAGTGAGGAGTTCTGCATTTTTCTCCTTTTTAGGACTTATTTTTTCAAATGCTCTAGCTTAGCTTACAGTAGTGCACCAGTCTCACTAGCCTGGATTAGCTATTCAGAGTTGACCAAGAACTCTGTTTTAAAATTATTTTTTATTATAATCCGCCTACTCACGTACTCTCTGTAAAGCCTTCTTGAATTACTTACTGTGGAACAAAACTTACTCTTTTTGTTTGTGCTTCTGTTCAGTTGTGAATCTGAGCCAAGGGTGCTCAGTTTGCATATCTGACAGATAATTAGAGGCTCCAGTTGATCAGATCAGTTTCTCTTACTCTTCCTACCACTCATACTAGTCTGGGAGCATTCCCTTGCTGCTGTCCAATATCATGCCTCCCATATTTCAGGCTATACCTGTCCCTTCTTTTCCCGTACATCCTTGCTGTCACTCCCACTTTCCACTGACTGTCCCTGGATTGGGAGAGGGAAGAGGTTGGTAGCAGAAGGAGGGGGTCATGGGATGCCAGCAGAGCTGTTGGACCTGCGGCATGTACCTGGCCTCCAGAGCAAACCAGGAGGCAGTGACTGTGGACCGAGGGCCAGCTTGCTAAAGAGGACGTGCTTCACTGCGGCTGACCAAGCAGTCCATATGTGTGTACTTTCCAGTTGTTGGCTGCCCAGCTGTCAGGCATGTACTGGTCTGGCAGCAAACCCTTCTCTTCCCCGAGCTTAGTCAGACTTCACATTCTGATTTACTAGCTACCAGCCAGACAGCTACATCACACTTTGAGCCATATATTGCTCAACTCTGATTTACATCAGCGCTGTGTCTAAGCAGCATATTTATGTAACCTGCATTAGAACTGGGTGGCTGTTGTCCCCTCTAGTAGCTGGCGGCAGAAAGAATTACGGGTTTGCAGCTGACTTTGCATGTAAAATTTGCTGTCCTTCCTATTAAGGTAGGTAGGAGCCAAAGAGCACACCAGATAACAGGAGAAATTCTGTCATGCTGAATGCTTAAATCGTATCAGAGAATCATTTTCAAACTCCAGGTCTGCAGGCCAGCATGAAGTTATTAGATATCAGCGGGCAGAAGGCTTTTTCCCTGGAATGGACACCTGTGAAATATTTGCTGGCTTCGGTCATGCAAAATGCCTGATGCGATGTCAAGTGAGTGCTAATGTGGCATGGACAGTGATCAATCTGGTCATAGCTGCTAGTGTGACAATGTGATCAGCTCTTCTGACATAGTGTTATCACCTTTTCTTTAGGCTGCCAACCACAGTGTGGACAATTTACAAATGTTTTACATTCTGACCATGAAGGCGCAGGCAAAAATACCTTAACTACGGTTTCGTTTGTCTTTAACTGTAATCTGGAGTTTTTGCCTTTTCAAGAATAACCAACATCCAGGCAATTATTCAGTTGCATTACAGCGTATTTTCTGTATGTATATTGTTTTGGCAACTGTTTTTATATTTTTTTCAGAATTCAACCTCTCTTACTGTGATTAGACCACAACAGCTTCTGTCACACTTTCCTTAAAAGATCAATTTCAGGCACTGGAGATTTCAGTAATTTTTATATTTTTTTTTTTTCAAATACTGTTGCTTTTAAATATCCCTTTCCACTTGGTCTTCTTACACGTTTCTGGATTTGGAAACATGCCAGAAGAAAAAAATTAAAAAATCTGTCTGGATCTTCTTTGTCTTCTGAAATATCCTACCTTACTGATGAGTTTGACAATAATATGAATTTAATTAAGTTCCCATATGGTTGAGTTACCAAAGGTGCAATATTGAAATCTCCCAGTCTTCCTTATACTTAATTCTGGGTTGTCCAGCTGGATCGTAGAATCACAGAATCGATGCTTGTGCCTTTCACCCTACCTCTCAGACTCTCAGCTTTTGAGGGTTGTCTTTGCAGGTGGACCAAGAAGACAAATCCTTTTTAATATCTGTTATTCTTTCATTAAACTGTGATCCTGAGGTCTTAAAGAATCGGTCTGAATTAGATCTGGGACCCCTGTAGTAGACACCTGTATTCCCAGTCTCATAACTCTGTTCATAGTTAACTCTGTTCATAGACCTGCCTGTCTGTAGTCCTTCAAGAGGCACCCATATGCTTGTGCACACAGTTTTAGGAGCTGTGCTGTAGAACTTGACCTAAAGTCCTCTGTGCTTCTGTTTCTGTATCTCTCAAGTGCTTGCATAGTGACTGTTGGACCTAGTGGCTGTTTTCTTCAGGTGCATTTGTGAAGTGGTATTGAGTTCCTCCCACGATTGGGCTCCTTAGGCAATCAAAATACTTCTAACAGAGGAAAACATGCAGAAATGTTGAATTCCTGTTTTCCAATTGTCAAACTTCCTGCAACCAGGAAGACAAGTAGGGAACATGAAAGTGCTGGCATTTTTTCATGTGTTTTTATTGAATTGGATGCTTAGATGTTTTGAACAAATTCAAAGCCAAATAAATTGCCATCCTTCAGGACTTGCTAAAACTGCTTCAGAGTTTCAAAAACTCAGCAGTCTTTTTAGGATGGAATTGTGAAGTAGGGAACAAGACCGACAGTTATTTCAGCCAGCTTTCCTCCCACTTTTATTTTTGTTTGCTTGGTTCTCATTATTTCTCTCCTTGCTAATCACACTTCTGAAAAATGTGCGTCCTGGTTTTGGCTACAATAAAGTTAATTCTCTTTCTAGTAGCTGGTACAGTGCTGTGTTTTGGATTTAGTATCAGAATAATGTTGATAACACACTGACGTTTTTAGTTGTTGCTAGGTAGTTGTAGTGTCTACAGTAAGGCCACTTACAGTAAGGACTTTTCAGCTTCCCACACCCCACCAGGAGCACAAGAAGCTGGGAGGGGACACAGCCAGAACAGCTGACCCAAACTGGCCACAGGGATATTCCATACCATATGACATCATGCTCCGCATATAAGTGGGGAAGCTATCCAGAAGGCGGGATCGCTGCTCAGAAACAGACTGGGCAGTGGGTTGTTTTTCCGCAGGTGGTGAGCAATTGCATTTGTGCATCACTTGGTTTATATATATATATTAGTAGTTGTTGTTGTTATTATCTTCCTTTGTTATCCTATTAAACTGTCTTTATCTCAACCCATGAGTGTTTTTTTTCCATTTTCCTCCTCATCCCCTTGGGGAATGAGGGATGGGTGAGCAGCTGCGTGGTGCTTAGTTACTGGCTGGGGTTAAACCATGACAATGTGATGTTAATATTTTTATTCACCGTATCCATAATACAATTGTTGTATTCAAACTAGACAAAAAGTTTCTATTTCCTCTTATTGTTTTCACCATCAGAGGTTTTAATGCCCTTTCCTCACCAGGAAAGTCTAACATTTTGAGTCTCAAACTGCATGTGTCTGGAAAGTTCTGTCTTCCTAAGGAATACCTTTCTAGACAAAAATATGCTCAAAATTTAATTACAATTGTAAAATACTGTTTGCAGTCTTCAGCAAGCAGACTCAGAAGCCTAATACAGTTCGCAAAGACTTGGAATAGGGGGTGAAGAGAAGAGGGAGAATGAGCATCCAATCAAGGATGACTTGCTTTCAACATAACTGTTATAAATTCTCATTATTTTAAACTTGAGAGTGAGTAAGAGATGATCAGATTTTCCAGCAGAATATTTTTCTATCAGAAAGTGACGGTTTGTTTTGGAAAAAAACTGAATGACATCTTATGACCTCTTTAGGACATAGGTTTATGTCAAGAAAGGAAGGACAGGAAAGTATTAAAAAAATGCAGTTAAATTAAAACAATTCAACAGAACATTGTAGTTATTAGAATAAAAGATTGGAAATGTAGTGTTGTGCATCCCCATCTCTCTTACAGGTCAGCATTTGAGTTGTATCAGAAAGTGAAAATATGCATAGGCATTCCCATGGGGTCTCCCATCTCAGGCAGAGTCGTTTCTGAACTGTGCATGGAAGGCAAAACAGAAAATACTAGTATTTCTGAGGGTGCCAGCAGATGGGCTGCTACAGTCAATTTTGAGTAGTCTGAGATGCTGCTGCACATTTGCTGTTAGCTACTTGCTTTTCGCTACTGAAGGTGTTACCTTGGGCTGAAAGTGATTACAACAGGTTTTAGCTCAGTTACTATAGCTTGGTCGACAAGGCAGTAAATTCCAGCTGGTGGGGCTGTATCATCCCAAAGTACTCAGACTTGACTGCAGGAAGACATTTGACTATGCTATATGACATATAACTACGTCAGGAGCAGTTTAAATAAAGGAAGTTGGATTGTTTATTGTGTTGGTACCCTGTATTAGCAGAGTAAAGCTTGTAAATATATTTTCTGGTCTGAATCTAAACCCAACATATTTGTTTCCAATATGGAAAATATTCTAGTATCTGTGGTTCTTTACATTTTTGCTGCATTGAAGCATGGCATGTGAAGATCTGTGTGTGAAAATGGAGAAGGTGTGTGTTGAAGGGTATAACAGAGCACATAAATGGTTAGAGCAAACAGATGCAAAGTCAAAGTTAGGGTTCCACAAAACACTTTTGCTTTGAATTTTGAAGCTTTCTAAAATTCTTCAATGTTTTACGGTATTTTAACAATTTCCTAATTTAACAGGTGCTTTAAACATTTATATTTAAACTTATATTTAAATAACAATATTTAAACTATTTTCTAAGTTTGAAGACTTGATTGCCTATTTAAATACCTGAAAAAGTACAAGAGGGTTTACTGTGAAGTGTAACATTTCCTTCTTTTAAGGTCTGTATGTCACCGCAAGTACTTGTGCTGCCCCTATATGGACCATTTACTTGCATTTTATAGGCTTGTTGTGCTAGCCTCTGTATGAAGGGTGTTAAAAAAAATTTTAGACACCTATTATTACGGTTTATGTTTTGATTAAAATGGTTAAAAATTTCCACTGATTTTGCAGTACAGGGTTAACTTGTTTCTGTTAAATTTAATCCTTTCTAGGGTGAAGTTGTGGAATTCCTTGATGAGCTGTTAGAAGTAGAGGAAAAGAAGGAATCCTGATGAGTGAAGTCACCACGAAGTATTTTACAAAAGTGAAGACTCGTCATTGCTCCTTACTATTGTTTTTGGTCACCTGTAGTTCCAGTTAGATATACCTCAAAGCTGCTCCTTTAAGCTCCGCCTTATGTCACTGAAACCTCACTTCCATGCTGCACTGACTTTTCTGTGAGCATGGCTTTTCCCTGTGCATTTACAGAATTGATGCATATGGGTTCTCCTCTTGAGCTTGCTTTCCTTTACACAAACACAACAAAGCAGACTATTTGTATTTTCTGGGCTAACCCTAAGGTTCCTCATTTCAGTGCTGTTCTACTAAGTTATAACAGTACAGCTAAATTCTGAAGAACTTTTGTCAGATTATGAACCACGGAAACATAACAGTTCGTCTAGTCTTTCCGAGTTATCTGTTGTATTATTTATATATGTCTTTTTCTGTGATGATGAATAAAGTGATACTGAATCCCAGTGCACCTCAAAGATGTTAAGATACATTTAGATAGCTGAAATAAGATGATTAACAAAGCATGAGTCATCTTGTAAAAATTGCTTAAAGAAGTCTGTAAGCAGTGTTGATCTTTCTTAGAAACTAAATTAAATTCCATGATGTGAAACTGAAGTCACTTAAAACTGAATAATAAATAATTCCTTCTTCCTACCAATTCTTACTCTTTCTGTTGAAACAACTTGTGGTTTGTGTGTGAGGTGGGGCCAATCTTGTATAAAATAAGGGTGGTCGATGTGTTTAGTATTCTTTTCTGTAGAAAACAGTTTGCATATTTTTTTCAGTCTGGTGGGACTATCTGCATGGTTTTCACCCAAAAGTAAGTACAGGTGGAGACAGAGGCAATTTTAACTGGAATCATGAAAAATATTTGCATGTGAATTCTTGACATTTTTATTAACTGTGGCAGAGTCCAATAGAGAAGCACTTTGAAGGCCCAAAAAATAGTGTTAGAGATGAGTAGTGAATTAGTGCGCAAGACTACTGAAGAGCAGAAATCCCACTGACCTCAGAGGAGGATCCAGGATTTCATCCTTTGCTTTCCTCTTTCAATTTCAAGGACCAAGTCCTGCAAGTGGTTTCATCCCACTTTCATCTAGAGCAGACGAGAGCATTCAGTGCCTCTGTGACTGAACCATAATTCAGCTGAATGGAAGTCGATTGCAAAACCAAAATCTGCTTTAGGTTTTTAAAAAGGCAAAACATGATCTACACTACCTATCCAAGTTGTCGCTGCTATAGCTTATGTATACTGTAGAAGTATAGTGTCTACACTGTGGGGTGTCTACAGAGAACAAGAAGGGGAATCCACAGGATCACGTTTAAGTGTCCTCCAGCCTGTGACAGCAATGAAAATGTTAAAGTTGCGTGTGAGAGATGCTTGGAAGATCAGATTGCTGGGTTTTTAGCTTCTTTAATATAAATCACAGCTAATCTGCTGAAGTCAATGGGCAGATTGTTTTATTCTCAAAATGAAAATCTTTCAAGAGCCTTTTAACTTTAGGAGATTTACCCAGCTCCGCTTGTGGTAACGAGACTAGAATCTGGCTTGCTGTATGCCTCGAACATGCAGAGGGTGTATCAGATTTCCTTATGCTTTTTGTTCCACACAGTATTAGCGCTCCATTTATTGTAATTTTTTGTAAGAATTTAACTTTGCTTTTAAAACTAACAAGCAGTTTATTGTAAACCACCACTTATTTCCCCATGAAATACATGTATTACAATACCCACCTGGGGTAGCTTCTCCAGGTTGTCCCTAATTTTCTCTTACTGGAGGTGTGTGTGTGTGTGCTCAAGGGAGAGGTAACTGCTCTGGAGGCCTGTTGTCCTTCTGCTTTCCAACCTGCATAGGGCAAGTCCAGAGTTCCTTCTCAGGAACTGCACCATTGATGTTAAGATCATATGCCCAAATAACTTTATCTTTGACACTCTAGCTTTCAAATCCAGAAATCCCACCATTAAAGGGCATGGGGTTGGTTGGGGGTGGGTGGATCTATCTACATTGCCTTTGTTTTACAACATTTTTAGTTCACCTTTTTCTTACTGCCATTTACCAAACTGACTTAAGAGCTCTGCCAGGAGACTGTTGTCTGGCTCTTTGTTTCTGTGGTGCACTAGCTCTTGTGTGCTGTCTGTAGGTACTACAATGCAAAACCTTAAAGACTTGCAAGAGAGGTGCCTATAATTCAAGTTTTTGGGCCTGAGGTTTTCCGTAACTATACATCTTGCGTGGAAATTACATGGGTGCGTAAAGCTTCTAATCAGATTTTGCCTGTTGGTGAAGCAAGTAGCATAGGCTACAGTAGGTATGAGATGACAGAAAATCCATTACAGGATGTCTTTAGTTTGCCTCTCAGTATTATTTCTTCCCAGTTAAAGAACTCCCTTCCCCTCTCCAGCACTAATTGTTGCTATAATCTTTTTTAAAGCACAAAGTATGTAGTAAAATACTGTAATATTTTCATTCCACCAGTAAAACACTGAGCACCAGAGTTAGCCTGTTTTGTGATTCATTTGACTTCAATGGGTTACACTGGGGATACATTTAGCGCCTATGAACCCTAATTTTTCCTCTTCATCAAACAGTTATTCAACCATTCCAAGTCTCTTGGGTATTATCAATTTTCTGGTAAGCTTGTGATTCTGTCTTTAGGGCTTCCTTAGCTGGTCTCTTTTCATGTTCAGTTATTTCCTCAGCTCTCGACCTTACAGCTAAAATCCCCTGCCATTGTGCCTTCTCAGGTGGGGATTTCATGATTTACTAAGGTGTCCATTAGCCAGTGATTTATTTTTCTTAAGCCTGCATTAAGTAAGTCTGATATCCTTTACCGTTCCATTTAACTCGAGGAGGCAACTGATACACTTGCAGCCTCCTGAAATGGCACTGTGATCCCTTTTTCATTTTGTTCAAGTGTCTGTGGATTTTTTCTGGCTTTCTTAATTTCCGCTACATACAGTCCCCAAGCCAGTTCAATCTTAATAAGTACAAGTAGTTCTCAAACCCTTGTTCTTTTCTAATGAGAAATAGCTCCTCTTCCAGTTCTTCTGTATTTATTGTGGCTTTTTTCAGCATTCTCAGGTTCTTTTAACTGATTTTTCTTTTGCTGCTGCTATTGTTAAATGCCAACATTTACATGTGACTGTAATAAATTAGTGTCTTTTCTTCCACTTCTCTGATCCTGCCAACTCTTCTTGGGAGGCTGTGGGAATATGGTTCTTGCTTCCCTTCTGCCACCCCAAATTCTTGCAGTTGTGAGCTGTCTGCCTCAGATGTTAGCAGCTTCTGCCTAACTTGATGGGATAGTTGAATTTTGTCTCCATTTCTTTTTTTGACAAGGCTTAAAGTATGACGCTGATGCTCAGGGAAGTGTCATTTTGTTGAAGCCACCATGTTTGTGTGACTGACTTGAACACAGCATCGGTACCATGGGTCTGCTGACCGTGAGCTGACACTGGAGCTGAAATTCATCTCGGTGGTAGTATTGCTTGTTGTAGAGCTGTACAATTACACTTTTTCATAATTAGTCACATTTCTAGTAAAAAAGCTGCCCATTTGGGTAGTTACTGTTGGCCTCTGATCTTCCGTTGATGCCCACAACCAAGTCTGCAAAAATTCTGAGCATGTGATTCAGTCACCACTTGCAGGTGAACGGTGGGCGAAGTCCATCTTCGGGCTGATGGCTAGCACAAGGGTCTGCACGCAGTGTGAGTCCGTGCTTGATCTCTTGCTGGATGGGGTCCTGTGTGATGGGGGACTGCTTGAAAGCTGGAGATTAAACTGAGTCACAAATGCTGGCACAGTGAGGTGGACATTTGGTTATGTGAAAAACACAACTGCTGGCTGTCAGGACAAGCTTTCTTACATGAGAATCAAAGCTTGGGCAAGGGAAGAGATTTACAGGTTGGAAATCAGTGTATCTGACAGACTGTGCTAAGTATGTAGTCTTTTTCAAATTAATACCCACTCTTACTGATAGTAATTCTTCATGTATTACTGGCTTCTCGCTAATTCATCCTCATAAATGGCAATATTCATTAAAAAAAGCAAGAAGAATGGTAGTGATTTTTCTCCTCAAAGTTTAATTCTGTTCCCATAAAACAGCATCGCAGGCTCCATGCTTCTGTATCTTGGCGATTTTGATAGCCGATAAAGTCAGCTACGAAAACCAAATACTTTTAGAATGATCAGTTCTGGCAAATTCAACAGGAATTCAAATGTTCTGCTGGGCCCTTTCATTCACTGTAGCGATTCTGCAAGCAGACCTTCCTTGCTTCTGTTGACAAGGCATGAGCCAAAAGCAAATTCAAATTGCTCCATTTTCCAGAGCTTTACTGCTTTGGAACGCCAAAACAGAAACCCAAAAGTTAGTCGGATGCTGTTCTCAATTCACCTGGAAAGCCCGTCCAACCAAGGAGGTGCCATTTCTTCATACTTGCCAGAATAAGTTCAAGGTAGAATTAGAGGTGGGTCTCCTCAAGACAAGCTGTTCCTCTGAAAATCCTACAGCGTGTGCTGCTTTACAAAGCTCTTGCTCGGTACACTGTTGCAACTAATGCCCACCATGTATCTCCGCATCCTTTAGAGTGAATTGTTGGTCTATATTGATAATAAAGGCAGACCTAGAAAATCTTTCAATTTCTAGAGACCCTTCATGAAAAAATGTTTAAATAGCATGCAAATTTTACAGCTCTGAAAACGAAGTTGTGATTAGACAAAGATTTGTTGGATTATAAAAGTACAAGTGTTTATTATGGCTGGTACTGAGAATAAACAGTTGCCTGCATATGCCAGCTACTATGGAAATATGTTTTTAAGTTCTAATGTGAGCTGTAAACCAAAGCTACTTCAGTTGAAAAAATTCAATACTTAAACTGTGGGGAGAAGTAGTCAGTGCCAGAGAAAACATTCCCATTTAATAATGTTTGAACATAGAGCTGTGATGCAGTTTGTAGCAAGGCAGTGAGAAAAACCCACAACTAATCCTTCATTGCAGCTGTCTGAACTTTTGGTTGTCTGCCATACTTTAAACAGCGACTTCTTTTTTCTTGTGACTCAAGACTTGAATGACCTAGTGTGGAGAGTTTAAGCTATATACAAAAAAGAAGTTAAGTAAGAAATAGCCAAAGTTGGGTTGCACACCCCAGCAAATCAGGGTTTTGTATCTTAAGTCCTCTTCAGTGCCTAGGAAAAATATTAAAATAAATAGATACCTATTTATTTATTTATTTTTGGCAAGGAAATATTCAGTGGTTTAGACACCCATCTCTCCTCCCTTCCTTCTTCTCTCTCCTTAGAGTACTGATGATATATGGAAACTAAATTCTGTAGAGAGTTCTGAAGTTTTTAAGTTTATAAATGCTAAATTTTCTGTAGATAAACTTTCTAAGTTTTCTTTGATTATTTTTAACTTTGTCTTCCCTTTGAGGTACTTCATGGGTAGGCCTTTTAAGTAGCATGAAGTAACAAATGTGCTTTTTTTCCTGATTAATTCTTTTGCAAAGTAATGGAACTTGCTTACTTTTAAGTGGAAATATGAGGGTCGGAGGTGTAATTTTATGTGACTACTAACTTGAAAGAAAAAAATTGGGGCTTTATGTCTTTGCCCCATTCTCAATATCACTTATCGGAAAAGGGATTAAACATTTATGTATTATCCTGAACTGGTGGTAACACTGTTGCTTGGGAAGTCTTACAGCTATCTAATCATTTCTTGTTATGACTGATTTTTAAAACAGTCATTCATAGCTACGTATTCTGATCTTTTACAGCTACGTATTATGTTGTATCTTTACATTACAAATTATTGGATATAAAAAACCCCACAAATTATTTTCACTGAAGGGAAAAAAATCAATCTATGCTGGCTTCAATGACCGTGGCAACAAATCCCCAACGTAATAGCTTTTGAGGTACAGTGTGCAATAAGGATGTACAATGTGATAAACCATATATTGTCATCTAGCTGGCAAATGAAAGGACAAGCACAGAAATTGGGGGGATTTCAGATTTGAGAACTTACTGAATACCTAAAATCCATGATCCCAATGTTTCTGTACGAAGGGGAGCAAACACCTTTTTGTTGCAAGGGTTTGAACCCCCAAACATTGCCAGTAGCTTGGATGCGACATCCCACAGTGTCACTTCTCAGCCTGCCCGACAGCAAATTTATACAGGGCTCTGCCCAGACGCAGCAGCAGCAGGAGCAGATGATCCATACGAAATGGGGGTCCAGTTAAGAGGTAGTTGTTAACAGAAGAAAGGGGGGAAGGGGAGATCATATCTCAGTCTGAACACCAGCGAGCTGATTCTGACCAGACTGCTGTAATACGTGGCTTCCCTTGAAGAGGATGATACATGAACTTTATCAGAGAGCAACAGATCAATCTCTTAATGACTGGATATCACCATCACAAAATCACTCCCAATATTTCCCCCTTTCCTTTTTCCTTTCCTAATTTCAACCCACAGCTGGCACTTTCAGCTCTTAGTTCCTGTAATAAAGTAACTCATCCCCTACTGGGATGAGTATTTTGACCTTATCACCTTCAGATTTTTTATTTACTGTACTCTATTTATTGTTGGCCATCCCTACTGTCTTTGGTGTAAGTCAAATGTATCATTCATGGGCTGTTTATCCCCATCTGTTTATTAGTTTTCCAAAAACTTCCTGAACCATTCTGGTAAAGTGAAAACCGTGAGTACAAACAGATGCTGCTGTAAAGATGCTTCAGATGGTCTTCTGAAGCAGAACCGGGCTGGCAGCCTAAGATAAACACTTTTCAGCTAATTTTTTTTAATATCAGAACATCTTCTACAAGAATTATCCAAGTGACAGACCATAATCTTTTTCTCCATAATCATCTGGGCAAACTGGAGGATTTGCATAAGAACACACAAAAGCGCTTCCTTTCCCCTTTTTTGTAACTTGTTTTTTTATTTAAATACCTCCAAAGCATTATGTTAATGTACATTTTCTTCTGATTCGTGAATAACAAGCATTTCTAAGTCTCAAATAAGATCCCTGTACAATTTGTGTTTGTAATTATATTTTGAGTTTCATTTTCACATGTTCGGGTCCTGAGCCAAATAGTATTGACATTTCATTTTGAGTGATGCTACACAGAACTGCAACATATACTTGTATCTTTCAGTTAAACAATATTTTTAATGGATGTTCCTGTGTTTATTTTTCAACATGTTTCCATGAGATTACAGACGGTATGTTTTAGCCGAGTTAACAGTCTCCATAAAGTTGCTTAGTGCGAAATCCATTGTTTGTTTTTTTTAAATGTTACTGCATAAAAAAAAATAGTTTACAACAGAAATTCTAGGTTATTTCATAGTCTAGAACGCATTAAAAGCATAAAGTCATGCATATGTCAGAGAACACAATATTTACAAATCTGTACAGTTTCTGTCCTCCTTTATTTACCGTGGCTCTTGCCAGGCAATTAGATTCAACTCTTACCACTCTGAGGTCAAATTCTGCAAGATAACTTATAGCCGTTGTCTGAAAATGCTTTGTTTTCCTTACCAGCACTGAGACTGATGGCTGTATGTATGACAGGCCCAATTCTGCCCTCCATTTCATAAAGTCTACCTTCTGTGGAGTTAGAGATGGTTACCACTGTGACTCAAGGCAGAACGTGAAAATGGGTGAACTCCACTCAGTCACCTTTTCTTACTCCAATATTTTGATTTGTGGAACTACTGGCATGTTTTGGCTGAGGCGGTACAATAGAGTGGCAGATGAATTTATTTCTGACCTGCAGATTATTCACAGTTGCCAGTCTTTCTCCTGTTGATTCAGAAAGGTAAGGAAGAGTATTTCATACTAAATTCACCAGAACTATGTTAAGGACTTCCAGAAAACATCCTCCCCTCTCTCCCTGTTTATTTTCAGAACTGCTGGAAATGGAACACGCTGTTGGAAAAGCCTCTGTGTTTTTACACCGACACCCGGTCTAAAAGCCAAGTGTTTGCATTTTATCAACTGGATGCAATTTCTCTCTTTCCCAGGTTTGCTCTATCTTTAAAAGCACAATAAGCAGCATTCAAAATGGATACCCATCTCCCATAGCCAATGTCCACCCCAGGCACCCCTCCAGCAGAATGGTGAAAATCAGTCCTTCCACAGACTTCATATGGCAGAAGTATTATACGTGGCTTCAGTTGCCAGAGGTACTACTGGCTGTGAATTAAAATTCAGGATCTTGGTCAGTCGGCATTGTGTTCAGAAAAGCAGCCGACCTTATGTAGGGTTCCCCTGGAAAGTGCTTCATCACTGTTTGGCTCTGTAATAAGAGGCTATTCATCATAACACCTGGAATCAAAGGTGCTCTGACTCCTCTCCTCAATACTGATACTCAAGGAAGAATGGCACTTAACAGTATTCTCTGAATTCCAGGGAGACATCATGATTTCTATAAAAAGATTAGTATAAGAATGGCACTTCTTCACTAATGCTAAAAGAACACCTTCCAGAAAAATAGCTTCATAATCCAACATTTGTGGCTTGTTAAATTCATAATGTTGAAGAAAAGTATCATCTTAGTAATCATTGCAATACTATCTACTAAAGTATGGTAGCAAATAGTTTTTCTTTTTAAGACATGTCAAGTAATAATTTGTTACGGTGGTTTATCCTGACCAGCTTGGCCAGGTTCTAAAAAAGGAACAAACACCAAAAGTGTGGTTGCTCCAAAAACATCCTTCTCCCCTCCTTCCCGCCTTCTTTCCCTCTTCCACTGAGAATAGACCAAGAAGGCCTGACCAGCCCTGCCGTTATATTATTACCAGGTAACACAGAAATTAATCAATTAATTTATTATTAATAGGAGCAAAATGTAAGAGCGGAACAAATTGTAGATGTACTACCAAGCACGCTGTGTTCTGCTGATGTCTCCAGAAGACCCTTGTGATAAAAACGTACAAATTCTTTAGCTCTGAAAGGTCAAATATGCTAAACTGCGATTTCAAAAGGATGAAATCTTTTCTGTCTTCTATGTTCTTTTAGCATTCTTTTTTTTTCTTCTGCTTTCTGCACTGCTGGATTTTAGCATCCATGAGTCATGTGATCCTTCTAACATCAATATGTTTTTCTTCTGATTTCTAGCATTTCTGCCCAAACACCCCTGGTTAGACTTTCTGCATTTCAATGTGCTGCTGGTGGTAGTGGTGGTAGCAATGATGCCTGGGTTGACACCTTCCATTTAGTTTATAGACAGAATTTTTCTGCTGCCGTTTTTTGAAAAACCACACAGCCAGGACTGCTGCAACCAGTAACAAGCAGAGAAGAATCACAATTACTGCTATGATAGCACCTTTACTTGACTTAGGACAATCCTCTCCCTGACATGGCTCAGAAGTGGGGATGGGCATTTCTCCAAGGCCCTGGGTGAGATTTTCTTGCTCACCTAATTCTTGGGATAATGTGTCAGCAATGATATCTGGAGCTGGTGCAGTGGTTGCTACTTGTGCTGGGTAGGTGGTGATTTCTTTTGGTTCTGCATACGGAGTGTGATCAGAGGGGGTGACCATCACAGAGGTTTCTGACATGGATGTTTTTAAGCTGGTTATGTCAAACAGTATCGTTGTACTGGGCTCCTGAGTCACAGTTTCTGGAAATGTAGTTGGGTGGTCCCATGCAGCATCATCATAACCTCTGCTCACGCTCAAGTTCTCTAGACCACTCACTGATGTAAGTGGTACCAGTGTTTCTTTGGCACCTTCATCATCTATCCTTGTTGTTGCTGCCACAATCTGTGTTAAACCTTCCTCTGGAGCTGGGCTACCATTGCCTGATTTCCTTACTTCAACATGATTCGGTTGGTCAGTTGTGAGGACAACGTCGTCTTCTGTTCCCATCGAACCATCAACTTTATCCCCCTCCTCTTCATCATCCTCTACCACTTCTTGTGTTACTGGATAGCCATCTAGCCACGACTCATCAGTAATGGCAACTGCATCTATCTCTGCCTTTGTATCATTAGTTGTGAGAATGGGTCCGATGGGGAAATCCTCACTGTCATAAAACATTTTGGCACCAGGTTCGTCATAGGCTGTCTTCACTCCAATGTGGTTATCACCTTCAGAAAACTGTGCTTTAGTGGAATCATCTGTCTCTTTCTCTGATTCAGGTTCACTGAAAGCCTCTGATGGAAACCAAAACAAGTTTTTTTGGCTTAGGAGTGACACAGGGGACTCAGTTGGTGCCCTGCTTCCTTTTTCAGAAGTGTCTGTGTCCTGAGTAACATCTTTGGTACTTCCAGTTCTTCCTTCCTCTGAACTTTTACTGAAGGAAAGCTGTTCCTGCTCGATTTCCCCTTTGCCATTGACATGTTCATTCTCAACGAGAGGTATCGATCTGTCATCAGGAAAGTTATCTTCATAGTCAATGTGTGCCTCGGTTTCATCTAGAAACATTAAAAAACCCCACAAAAGCCAATATTTAATTTCTCCAGAAAAGCACTGGGCTTATTTGTTACAAGAAGCCAAGAAGAAAGGTGCAATGAAGAGTGATTTTTAGACAATATTTTTCATTCAGTGTTATTGTTTATTTGAAAAGGGGATCGTCCACCATAAGCTGATAGTCAATATAAAGTTTTTTAAAAAAAATCAGGATAGGTGTCTATGCTAACCACTAATATCTTATTTTTCCAGATTTCAAAATGTATATAAATAACTTACTGTCTGCAGTTAGAGAACTTCCTTCAGTTGCTTATTGTTTTCTCAAACCTTTGCTCTCCCTAACACGACTCTTTTTGCCAGACTTGAGGAAAAATTTTCATCATCTTCAAGCAAGAAATAGGGGCGGGGGGGGAATGTATAGCAAAAAGTAATCAATTACTAATTGGACTTAAAAAAACCAACAACCAAAACTAGAAGTTTTACAGCAACTTCACCCCTTTTGAGCCAGCTGATTTTGAAAGATTATATTCAGTACTTGTGTTCAATTTTTTATCATTACAGTACTTTTCTTCAATGACTTTAGTGTTGCAGTGATATGCCACCTGGGCGCAGGTGAGCTGCATGGTGTTTCTCATTCCATGACAGCTCTTCAGAGCTGCCCAAGGAAGACCACCTCTCCACAAAGCTGACATTGAGTTCTGCTCATCTTCATCTGAAGAAAGCAAGGTGCACCCATGACTGCAAGGACAGAAAACTCTATCATCTCCAACACTGACAGCCTAACACCTAGGTATCAGGATAATACCATCTGTAATCAACTCTCGGGCTTCCAATTTCAAGAAACTAAATGTTACCAAAAAGAAAACAGAAAAAAACCCAACAAAACCAAACCCACAAAAAATAACTGAGAGTAGCAGAGGGGTGGATTCCTCACAAAGTTTGAGTTTGATTTTGAAATACTCCCCATGCCTCAACAGACCTACCACTTATAGCAAAATAGACTTGACTCAAAGCATGAAACTAAATGTTTGAATTTGAATTAAATAATGCATTGTAATTTATATTTCTTCCACTTTTCTAAAAACCTTAGCTCAATGAAAAATTTTCCAAACTAGACAGGGTGGTTGATTTCCAGCTCACACAAGTTTTACTCCATAGAAAGTTGATGTAATTGCTGAGATTTATGCTGGCACTAAAAGTCCTAGAAAATAGTGCCTTGGGATATGGAAAATAAAACAAACTGAATCATGGTGAGAATTTTTCTTTTTAAGAGAGTGTTTAGTCTTTTGTGAAGACAGTGAAGCAATAGACCTGGCATGACATGGGAAACAAAAAATTAATAGAAGAAGCTGTATTACAAATCAATGCATTCATAAAGCCTTATCTTTTTTTTTTTTTTCATTTTACACTCAACTAACTTTGAATCACATTTTCATCTGGGGCCCACCTCAATTTCCAAATGAGTCACATTCTCCTTGGAGACTGCTTCCCAGACTTCTGGCAGAGCCATATTTGGTCTACTCTTAGGAAAGATTAGAAATATTGTCAAACCAGTCTGACCAAAAACACTTAGTGGTGATACAGCTCACACCAGCTTACTTTTTGCCAGAGCAGCTTAAGCCAGGTGCCAGAACAGAATGAGTATTAGCAAAAGGTGTTTTTCTTGGAAGAGCATCCGGGTCTACCATAAACCAAAGCAGTTATGCTGAGGAAACCGAAATGTGCGATATAGCCCATGGAGAGTTAATACCTCTGTGAAAGCTATCGTGCTGGAGAACTGGATGTTCTCAGCAGGTCTTCTCATCTCACAGCAAGGGTGTAGGGTGAAACCTGCGCATGATACAACAGCATGAACAACGGACCTCTCTCCCTCCTGGTCCCGGTGTCCTCATCTGCTTGTGTAATCCTCTAGATCTCCTCCTCCATCCTCTCCAGAGAAGGAAAAAACTTCCGTCTGGTGCAAAGATGACTTAACAGACAGGGGAACCCAGCTCTCAGAGTGGAAAGCTTCCTGGTAGGACTCTCACTTTTCTAATTCATCCTAAAATCTTTTCCAACAGTATTTCAGACTTTCATTAATGCCTGGAGGGTACCTCTGAATACCAAAGCATTTTAGCAACATATTTATGAAGATCTGGGTGGCACTGGCCATCGCTATACAGCACTTCTAATAACCATCAAATGCTAGTCTCATTTTGTCCCTTGTCTTGCTTTCACTTAAGAATTTTTCTACCTGGCACTCTCTTTGCATGGAAATGGTGCTTCAAGGCATTTTGTTCTCCTACCGTCCAGACTCCTCCTAAAAGTTGATACCTGGCATGCCTGCTTCACTGAAGTCCAGTGTCTCTCAGGACAGCCTATAGGTGTCTATTGGATATATGTGAGCTGGAACATCGTAATGTGAGAACTCACCTTTTACCAATTGTGATGGTCATTGTTTTCTTTTTTGAGATGAATCATCACACCAGTTGGTCTTCACCTGTATGTCTCCTGCACCTCTATGTTTGCTACTCATTTACTTCTCAGACTACAGTAATCCAGCTGAGGATGAAACATTGATTTTTACATTACGGCATTCTAGTGCACGCACACACGCCCCTGAACAAAAATTACAGTCATATGATTGTGGTGTTTCCTCCAGGCTTATTCTTTGGTTAGCGATATGAATGGACAGCTAGTATTCATCTTATTGACTAGTATGGATCATTGGTGAATGCTTAAAAACTGTAGCAATACACTTTCTACAAAATTTGACACTCTCCCCCTTTGGTGCCTCTTGTGCTGTGTACTTTCAGTCTTATGGAGGCACATTAGGAAAGAGCATGTGCTCCTAAGAAAATACGAGTCTTCAATTTATCAGAACATATTAAGGGTTTGTTGAACCATCAGTCAAGTCTCCATCAAACCTGCTGTCTTTGGGCCTGATTCTGCATGTATAGAAATGAATTGGGGCTTTCTTAATGGTCAGCTGAGGAAAGAAAAAGTCCATTGTAGTCTGAAGAGAGCCTGAGATTGGAGCTCATTACGCACTGCTCGTCACTGCATAAGGGAGTCTTGTTCCTTCTGACAATCAGATTGTGGCCCAAGTTGTAAAGCTGCTATGATGTATTTACATATGCAATCTCCCATATTTGTATAGTTTATAGCAAAGACTATCAACATAACTAATGTTAGCTTATGCGATGCCAGAATGAAAGCAACTATTGAGCTCTCTAACCATCAAAGGAAATACAGACCCCCTTACTCTGAAGCTTTGATTTATATGATCCTGAATCAACTCACACAGTAATAATACTCTATTCTTTCTTCTGGGCCTCAGACCTTCAAATGGGGCTTGGACTTAGTATTTAGTGAGTTTGTGTTACCATGACAATCTTTTAAGTCGGCTGTGAGCTTGATTTTCCAGGAACAGATTGCACAACTTTAGCACTTCTTTTTGCTCACCTCCTCACTGCTTTCTTGAGCTTTCCAGCTCCCTGAATTTTAGTCTCGGTACTGAAGAGCAACAACCAAAGTAGACTCAGCTCCACCTCTTACCCAAATAGTTGTAACCTTTATTTATACACATTTTAAAAACAGCTAGCAACTGATTTAGAAGTGGTTGCATCTTCCTTCCTATCCAGGCAGGTCTGGTTTTAAGAAGAGCCAGCACTGAAATTAATTAGTCCAAGACCAAAATCTTTCTATATTTGGTCATTGTTACATCTTACCCCTACCCTCCTCTGGCAGACTCAAGGATCAGTAAGTTTTGATTCACTGTCTGAGGGATTACTGAGGCTGAAATGAACATTTTACAGCAACAGATGCTGAAATGGCATACTACCAAAGATGTGGAGCTCAATTAAAAGGTAAAATCCTTTTAATTTAGCCTTGTCCCTTCTGGGAAGCATCCAGCCCTAAAGAACTTTCATCTCCTTCAACTTTTGATCCTAATATGAAAACAGTGACCAAACATAGAGACAGGCAAAAACAAAGAACCTGGTTTTCCACACTCTAGGATCAGTTTAATTTTTCTTCTAGATAGCATATTGGCATCCGTGCTCTATTTTGAGTGTTGCTATTTTGGACAACCATAAAGTGCACTGCATATTTTATGGATGTATTTTTGGAGTACAGGAAATTGAAACTTGATTCTATGTAGACCATCATCATAAACATTTCTACGGTATAAAAAACATCTTTATTCTAAGAAACTCAAAGTAGTTACAGCAAAAATTAACAAGCTGGCATCTGTCTTTAAGGGTGGGAAGGAAAAGAGCATGTAGACCAATTTGCCTAAGATCAGTCAGATTTGTGAACTACAGTATCTCGAAGAATTAGCCATTTGACTTGCATCAGGCACACGAATGCACTTCTCTCAAATCAACCAGAGTATGCTAGACAGAATTTGTGTTGTCTTTTGGCTTTTGCAACAGCTACAAGGAGGATGATTTTTGTTCTAGCAGAAAGCCTGCTAATATAAATAAATAATTCATCATAATTTTTTAATCTAATCTGATTTGGCAGAATCAGTTCATGCCAGATCGATACTTTACATTAATCTAATACAATTGCTCAGTGACAGACCTGAAAAGAGAACCAAAGTTTGTCATAACAATTGTTTTGACAGGCCATGGACATATTTTGTTGCTGATTTTATTTGTCTGTCACAACTCTCCCTTTGCACTCTCAAAAGAAAAAACGAAGCATTCCCCAATAAGATCAAAAGCCAGAGACATTTTGTTTTACTCTCCCCTTCAAAAAAATAAAAGCAAAATAATTAAATGGTGCTGGCTAGTCATGCTTACAGACCACATGAATGTGAATCAATACCGTTCTTGAAAACTCAGAAAGCAATGTTTGAAGTAATAATAGTTGAACGAGGCAAAAAGACTGGGAGCTGCAGATGAAGCTTTCAGAGGTGGTCAAAAAGTCAGCCAAATCCTCCTTACATTGAAAAAAGAAGTATGGTCCTCAGTCTGGAGAAGTTAGACAAGCTCTGAACACACCAGACAAGTATTCAGGTCCCGACACTGGAGAGATTCCCGAGATGTGCAGAAGATATGACTTCTCCTGCCACAAGCTTATAGTTGGAAAAACCCAAAGCAGCCAAGGGAAAAGGATAAATATATGACATTCTTCTTAGCCAGATTTAGGGCAGAGACGTGACATGATTTCTCAGCCATCTAATCTGTAATGCAGTCCTGTCACACACACACACACACACACACCCCCTCCCACTGAAATGTTAGTATTAATGCTTCTGATATTGAACCTATGGTTCATTTTGGGAAAAAAACAAATGTCACTTTACCCTTTGTGCCTGCAGGACAGCCACAGCATGGCACGTATACATATATCTGCTTTCAGACCTTACTACAATGCCAATCTTCAGGATATATTTTGTGAAATGAATGTGTTCTCTCCACCGAAATAGAAAAAATAATAAACTGCAAAAAACATGTATTTCCCTGTTCTGTGCTTAAGGTTGCTTTGTTGGGTTGAATGTCCCTGTGTTTTCAGCTAGAACACAGCATCTTTTCATGATGAGAAACTGCAGGAAACGCTAACTATACAGAGCCACTTTTTTCTTAAAACGCATCTTGATTAAAAATTACAGTCCATTACCTGGTGTGTGCAATGTACATTAAAGCCATTTGTAATGTACTGTTTTCTTCATTTCCAACATACTTTACTGTATCCAGAATCCACTTAATATAACACTAAAATTATTTTGTTCATTTATGCCCATAGCCAAGTTTTGCCACATATTTTGGATTATATGTGTGTTGATGCGTAATATTTTTTTTTCATATAATTTACAAATTTGCCAACTGTATGGTTGTATATTTAGATCCTAGGTGCCAGAGTGGATGGTATCTCTTCTAACTGGATCAAAACAGAGAAGAAAGATGATCATAAAGCTACTTCAAAGTACATTTAAGTGCTATATTTAGACACTGCTACAATGATAGTTCTTTGACTCCGTATTTGCTCTGGGTGAACAACTGGGAATGCAAAGCAAGCCCAATGCTTTTACACAAACAAGAGAAAACCCCAATTATTGCTGTTTAGTCTGATATTCTGCTTGGACAGCCGGGCATTATAATGTGGCAGTTACCAAGTAGGACAGTAATACATGGCTTATTATTAGGATAGTAATAACATCTGCAAATCTCAGAAAGCTTTATGAAGTTGGATAAAGATTATCACTCTTTCATGAATGAGGTGGAGTAAGCAGCAGAGAGAGGTATTGTGACTTGCCCCTGGTCTCAGAGACAATGCAAGATGTAGGAAAAGGCCTTATGTCTTTTAATCCTCTGACTGGAGTTTTCTCCCTGTGGTCCAGTTGTGTTGGTGTAAGAGCATCGGGGACCACTTCACATTTCCAGTTGCTCACCCAGTGCAGATGCAGAACAAGAGAACCATATCATCTTACCAGCCTCTAAACATAGCATTTAAATGTTCATTGAAGTGGCTTCATGACCAGCTTTCCTCTGATGTGACCCAGTTCGGACAGAAATGGCCCATTCTGACAACAGGGATATAAATTCTCCATTAAGTCCCACCATTAACCTTCATGATAGGGAAGTTACTCTCTCGCCTCAGTGTGTGTGCTGACTTCTGAGGTACTTAATTCATAATTATTCTCCTCTCCCCTATGACCCCAAAATATCTGTCAACTGTAAATCAGGTTTCTTTTAATTAAATCCCTTTTTTTTTGCTCTTTTTCACTTAATTCCTCCTTTTTTTTTTTTACAAATAATGTACCCTAGCATGACATATTGCAGTCTTCCTGTAAAGCCTCCTTTCTTAAAGAATTGTGATCTGAAGGATTGAATATATAATTATTAATTAAACACGTACTGTATTTTCTATCCCACGTCCTTAAAGTGTTTGAAAAACATTAATCAAAGGAAGCCCCTCAGCATGAAGTCTACATTTAAATCATTTAAAAAATCATAATCCACAATATTACATTTGCTCCCAAGTTCCAGTGTTGATGTTTGTGATTTTACAGCCACACTTTCCTATTTCTTTTAAAAATATTTTTCTCTCCCCTGTGGCTGTGTGAAAGGCTCAGGCAAAACAGGGGAAATATAGACTATTTATCCAGGGAAAACAGTGAAACACACACAGCTTAAATGGCCTGATTCTTTCCCTTCCTTACTTTGGTGTAACACAGAGTTATTTCTATGTGTGATAAAGTTAGCATTTTCACTAACCTCAGTGAAGGAAAAAGAAGTATCATTTTGGTGCAGATTATAGGAGATTCAGACCCACTGGGTTATCAGATGTAGATACTCTTTTTTCCTTCTCTGCCTCCATGCTTCTCCTCCACTCCCTGCAGTATTTCACTTAATCATCTGAACTGCTGTTTGTAAGAACAGTTCTGGAAGCTGAAATAGTTCAGAAAGATGTTGGAATTATTTTTTTTATATATATATATATGTATGTATCATTTGGATGGGTTTGATTATCTTGTTCCCTGGTGCACAGATATGACCCGTTTTTACTAAGAACAAGTTTGACCTTTTCTCATGATTAGCCATGCCTGGTGGTATATATTAATGAGTAAAAATAACTCCTTGCAAGCCCCTGGGCATTAAGGAATATATAGGTTCTGAAATGGATATGCTAACTCCAGCCCATATAGATAGCTCGGCTACCCAACAGCTGCCCATTCCTTTGCTTAAAATTTATCTTTTTTGCCAGAAATATCATCTTAAAGGTGTGATATATCTCTGAAAAAAACCAGTAAGATACTCTGATGACTGTTCTTAAATATTGGAAAAATTGTGAGCTTTATGCATTGAGCAAGGTAACATGAGAAAGAGAATGAGAAAGCAGAATTTGAATTGTAGCCACATCTGAACTCATGGTACTTTTTAGCTTATGTTTAAATAAGGGAAAAGATAAAAGTTTGTTGCAGAATCTAACTAACATATAAAGGTGGGATTTCCTGAAGGTTTAAATTAAGGAAATGTCATTATTATAATTTCCCAGAGCTTTTACATTTTGTTTTTGTTGTTACAATAAAAGCCTGATTCCTTGAGTCAAGTTATTTGGTAAGAAAACCCACTTTCATTTCTTTGACTGGAGTAAATATCTGGGTAGCTACTGTTGTGTTTGTAGG